CCAATTTTGGCCACTCTCTTAAACTTGGCTTTCGTCTCATCCTCTTTATCAACTTCATCCAGATCTAGGTCTATTTTTTTGTTAGTCATTGCATTTAGATCCCAGCAGTTTTCTTTTTTCTCCAAGTGCTGTTGGTATTCCTCTTCGATAAATTTCAAAAAGATTGCAACTAAATCTCGGTTTTTCATTTCAAACAACTTGCCAAATTGGGGTAGATGTTGCCACAATAATATGCGGTAATTCAGTATTTGCTGTTGGGTCAATTGTCTTTCCTTTTTCAAGGGCAATATTGCATTCATTGTCTTGGAGTTCCAAATTTCCTCGATGACTTCATCTTCTTGGTTAAAGTGTTCTTTAGAATAATCAACACTGTCCAATGTTTTCTGCATCTTATCTTGGTAAATTGACCAAAAAGTTGCCGGCTCAACTTCCTTGGCATAATCTTCCAAAAGTTTCAGGGTTGGTTCCCAAACAAATTTAAAATTATGATACAGCATGCCCAACAAAAAGCGAATACAATCGTTTTTGTATGTGGCTTCTTTAAACGATTTAAACAGCTCCGTTTGCGTTTCCAATTTTTGTATCAACAAGATCTGCTCCCTATAATTGTGAATATTGGGTTCAATTAATTCAGTCTGGTAAAAAATGTGGTAAGGGGTTTGGGTTTCTTGGCCCTTGAACAGGACACTCAGTGACTGTGCGGCCAATAGACGATAGTCGTGATCGTGGTGTTGTAAAATATATGACAGACTGGGGATTAACCTGGTTTCGTGCTTAAACAATTTACTGTTTTTGGATATTAATTGATTCAAGGACCCCAAAACATTTTTGTACTGCAGATTGTTCAATAAAATTTCTGTCAATGGTTTCAAAATATCTTTCGGTGGAAATAAATCCAATTGCCACATTATCTCAATGAGAAGAGTTAATGTATTAAGCGGTCTCTTAAGATCCTCAGTTTTTGAAGCTTGCATTTCATTAACTGTAGATTTCATTAGATATTCTAGAGATTTTTGTATTTTTTCAGCCTTTAATCCTTTTATATGGGGTGCCATAATCAGCAATAACAGATTTTGCTCAAATTCTTTGCTCTTCGAGTTACATTTTTCTAAACTATCTTCAATGCGGATAATGGTTTGCACTGAATTCACTTTTATTTCCATCGACTGCCATTGATCCAAAGAACAGCTGTTAAAATTGAGGGGGTGTTTCTTTGTTATGACCCTTGCCATTAGTTCGATGGCCTGTAAATCAAAATTGGTTTCCAAATATTGTACCAGAGATGGTAGAATGAAAATATCGAACTGAACATGCAGAGCCATTGAAAGTACAAATTCATCATAAATTGATCGGTTCTTTATGGTTAAAGCTTTTTTCATTAAACGACTGGTATCCAATTGGGTAACCAAGGAAGAACCCGATAATAATATGGAGCAAATAACATTGCTGGTTAACAATAAAGTGTCTTCGGAAGATTTTTCATCTAGCATTCCTCTATCTATAATTCCCAAGATAGTTGCCACAATGACATCCATTTCGGATAAGAGACGTCCATCCTTGAACTCAATTACTTGCAAAGCAATTTTCATTAAAAACTTCAGTTTTTTAACTACGGGTTGGCTGTCCGCTACTGCACACAATTTTGTCCAAAATAATGACATTTGGGATGATGTGATAAACTTAATCAGCTGTAGCACAGTGTGTTCGACAATATCGTGAAGCAAATTAAGCTGTTGATGCTTGATATCTTTCCTTTCTGCCAAAGCTTCGAATATAAACTGTAGAAAATCTCCAGCTGTGGAATGAAACTGACCCTTTACACCTCGCATTATCTCGAAGAGCAAACGACCACATCCTTGTATACTATCGATTTGCTCACGTGATACCGTGGACAAAACAAAATCCAAAAATTTTCCATACTCCTTTACATCACGCGCGATGAAGGAGAAACACTCCACTGCGAAATTTGTAACATGTTCTTCGTAACGTCTTTCATCCAATAGTGGTAATATACTATGGAACACAATGCCTATATTTCGTTTTAAATAGGGCTTCAAGGTTTTGAAAAGATAGGCTAGACACACTAATGTCCACTCTAGTTGTTCTGCATCTTGGGTATTGAGCAAACATATTAGTCTGTCCAGAACTCTCTGGAAATATTGATAGAATTCCTCTCGCAAATCTCGTGCTAATACGTAGAGGAGTTCCAGTAAAGGTTGCAGGGATAAATTTGTGGCGCATGATAGCTTGTCCAATAGCGTATCGATGACAAAATCCTTTTGGTGTAGCAGCTGTGGCAACGTTACGACCTTTACAACTTTTCGTGAGAACTGTGAGAACTCTGTTGTCAGATTTAAAACCATCCATTTGCGGAGAGTTTGATGGAAGTATGTTTCATTTTCTTCAACAAGATCTTCATTTTCGTGTCCAATGTGGTACAGGGCCAAGCGCCTTAAGTCGATTTCATTCACACGTTCAGCAAAACTTTTGAACTGGAATAATACAATATTTTAAACTGTTATCCCCAACGCTGTTGCATTAACCTACCCGAAATGTATTCGAATTCTTGGTTTTTTCATTTAATTCCGCCATAATTTGCCGCTTATTTCGTTTCGTTTATTTATTTTTTTAAAAACTACACGTGCAACCCAACATTGTTTCCTTCTTCTTCTTTTTCGTTGTCAGTGGTGTTGATAGAAATGCACTTGATGGAATCTTCTTCTTTTTAATAATATAGTGTAATGCATAGGAGATTAATAACATTTATATGATGAGAGAAACTGTGAAACTCATGCCATAGACAAATGAAAATATAGACCATAGACAAATGAAAATATAGACAACGAAAAGTTAGTGTTGTCTTTTTTCCGGGTGGCTCTCATCATGTTTTGCATAGTCAACATGCTGATTTACGCGTTCAAGCCACTCGACTTCGAAAACACATTTTATCGTTTTTCAAGAATTTCACTGGAATATTCCCATATTTTTCGATGTCATCACGTACTTTTCACATTTCTTTTATTATGAAATAATTTTCAACTGGCAAATATCCTACAGTTTTTGTTATTTTTAACGTTTTAGAATTGAGTGACTTCAATATTCCCACTCAAACCCCTGAAACGATATGAACGACATCTGCTGATTCGATTTTTTTCGAAGATAAACGGTGAGAGCATTTCGTTGTCTATATTTTCATTTGTCTATGTATAGACGACGAAATGCTCTCACCGTTTATCTTCGAAAAAAATCGAACAGCAGATGTCGTCTATATCGTTTCAGGGGTTTGAGTTGGAATATTGAAGTCACTCAATTCTAAAACTTTAAAAATAACAAAAATTGTAGGATATTTACTGCATACGTTGAAACCAACATTTTGAAAACACTCGAATTTGAATATTTTCTGAACATTTCTTTTGTTTTTGAAAAGGAAACACATACATAAACAAATGCAGTTGACATATTAAGCCAAGAAAATAAAAAATTAAAATCATAAAAAATTTCAAAATTTCAGAAATATTCTTTGTTACTAACGAGATACCATTTGTTGTGTAAACTTTGTGTAAACGACCGTACTATTGAAAACATCATTTTTTGTAAACGACTATACTTTCCAGAATATTACATTGTGTAAACGACCGTACTTTCCAGAATATCACTTTGTGTAAACGACCATACTTTCCAGTATATCACTTTGTATAAGCGACCATACTTTTGAAAACATCACTTTGCGTAAACGACCATACTTTTCGAAACATCACTTTGTGTAAACGACCGTACTTTTGAAAACATCACTTTGTGTAAACGACCATACTTTCCGAAACATCACTTTGTTTAAACGACCATACTTTCCAGAATATTATATTGTGTAAACGACCGTACTTTTGAAAACATCACTTTGTGTAAACGACCATACTTTTGAAAACATCACTTTGTGTAAACGACCATACTTTCCGAAACATCACTTATGTAAACGACCGTACTTTTGAAATCATCACTTTGCGTAAACGACCATACTTTCCAGAATATCATTTTGTGTAAACGACCATATTTTTGAAAACATCACTTTGCGTATGCGACCATACTTTCCGAAACATCACTTTATGTAAACGACCGTACTTTTAAAAACATGACTTTGTGTAAACGACCATACTTTTCGAAACATCACTTTGTGTAAAGGACCGTAATTTTAAAAACATCACTTCGTGTAAGCGACCGTACATCAAGACCTCATTTTGTGTAAGCGACTCTACTTAAAATACGGCTCTGAGTGTGAACCTTACATTTTTTTATCTTTCCCTTTTTGTTCAACAATGGTTCACATTTGATTTGTAGCTAGTTCCGCCCTCTTTTAGTGAATGTGTTCAGTTTTCCTCATGTCTCATTCGTTAACAACAGAGTACCCCGAGTCTTTGCTTTCTGTTTATTTTTTATCGGGTATTCCTTTGTGGCCTTCATAATCGTTTCGTTGGGACGTTTTTCATTTTTGTTTCCACTTTAATATATTAGTGGTAAATTACTTCTTAAATAGCCTTTATTATGTTGAATTCAGCGTTTTTGTTTTGTGCCAAAATTAAATTATTTACAAGCAAATGAATAGTCGAGTACTCGGTTTTCACCCTAGTCCATAGTCGAGTTCGGCAAACGATAGTAGCAACTAGTTCCGCGCTCTTTAGTAAAGATGTTAAATTTTCTCATGTCTCATTCGTAAACAACCAACAGAGTACCCGGGCGTTATGCATATGCATTACACTCATTCGTAAACAACAGAGTATGCCGAGTCTTTGCTTTCTGTTTATTTTTAATCGGGTATTCCTTTGTGGCCTTCATATTCGTTTCGTTGGGACGTTTTTCATTTTTGTTTCTAGCGCTTGCCACGAACTAGTTCCGGGCTCTTTTAGTGAAGATGTTAAATTTTCTCATGTCTCATTCGTAAACAACAGAGTACCCCGAGTCTTTGCTTTCTGTTTATTTTTTATCAGGTATTCCTTTGTGGCCGTCATATTCGTTTCGTTGGGACGTTTTTCGTTTTTGTTTCCAACGCTCCCATAATTCCCGCTTCGTTGTTGCGCTGTCAACGAACATTGAAGCGAAGGACTTGTCAAGTCAAGTTAGTAAGTTAGTAGTGGTAAATTACTTCTTGAAATCCAACGTTTATGTGCCAAAATTAAATTATTTACAGCAAATGACAAAGAAAATGAGACCGACCGAAGTGAAATTAAGCAATCCTCCTGAAGATTGGATATCAACAGTCAGATTCGGGCCAAAGTCGAATCAATATTTAATTGCTTCTTCGTGGGACGGTACCGTTCGATTCTACGATGTAAATGCCGTCAGACAAGTAATTAAGTTTGTGCAGGATTCTCCGGTCTTGGACGCAACATTTATGGTTAGTATTTATCCATTGATATGCTGTACTTAATTGATTGATAATTGATACGTGAACATGCTTTTTTAGGATGTAGTGCATGTAGTCAGCGGCTCATTGGATAATCAACTGCGACTATACGATGTAAATACACACACCGAGAATATAGTGGGAAGCCATGAAGAACCTATAAGGTGCGTTGAGTACGCCGAGTCGGTTAATGGCATTTTAACAGGGAGTTGGGATAAAACCCTTAAATTGTGGGACATGCGTGAAAAACGCTGTGTTGGCACCTACGAACAGTGCAATGGAAAAGTATACTCAATGTCTGTCAATGACGAGAAAATTGTAGTGGCTACATCTGAACGAAAAGTGTTAATTTGGGATTTGCGCAAAATGGAAGAATACATGATGAAAAGGGAGTCATCTCTCAAGTACCAGACCCGATGCATTCGCCTCTTTCCCAATAAAGAAGGTTATGTCATGTCCTCAATTGAGGGTCGAGTGGCTGTGGAATACTTGGATCCTGATCTTGAAGTACAAAAACGCAAATTTGCCTTTAAATGTCATCGCAATAAACAGGATGCCGTTGAGCGCATATATCCAGTAAATGCGATAAGTTTTCACAATGTTTATAATACTTTCGCAACTGGCGGATCCGATGGATTTGTTAATATTTGGGATGGCTTTAATAAGAAACGTCTCTGTCAATTTCATGAATACGATACTTCCATATCATCTCTAAATTTCAGTCATGATGGCAGTACATTGGCTATCGCGTGTTCCTATATGGATGAATTGGAAGTGCCACCGACCAACGTTCCGAACCCCGCTATATATGTGCGATATGTGACAGATCAAGAGACGAAGCAGAAGTAAAAATATTTCATAATTATTATATTAAGTTTTCATTAAATCGTGGACGTTACAAAATATGTTCAAATTTGCGTGTGTATTAATATTTAGATATTTGGTGGAACATATGATTTAGTAATTTTTTTGGGGGTTTTGGAGATTTTCTGCCTCAAAAGCATTTTTTATTAAAAAAGGGCAATCCTAATAATTGCTTGCAGAAAATAATGCTACTTGATTTAATATTTCAGCACAAGCTCTACTATACTCTATTGAAAAAATTTTGTACGGGATTTGTTGTTTTCTGAATTTCAACGTACGTTAAAGTTACCATGGATGGCGGATGGAAATAGCCAGCAATCCTCATTAGTTCCTTTGGTTTTTGTCTGAGGTCTCCCCAGGAGAATATAGGATATTATCTTTCCGAAACCAGGGCATTCTGGTCTTACCCCTGATAAACATTACCATCTTTCTGAACTAATAAAAAACAATTATGTGATTAAGTAGGCTATTTTGGAACAACAAAATTATCAGTGCCATTTTGCTTCCATTTACATTTTAGTTATCTCACCCATCAGTCAACCACAAAAATGTGTTTCAGAGTAGTAATATAAGGCAAAAATATGAAAGGAGGAAATTACTGCGGATGCATTCATGTGTTTGTTATAAGGCTTAGTTTTGTTATCTGCCCTTTGTCATCATAAAGAAAAACTCTTATAATAAATTTCGTGAATATGAATGAAAGTTCAACAAAACAATTTTGATACTAGTTTTGTAGATGTGAGATTGGTTTGTCCTTTAGGGTTTGAACAGAGCAAATTTCACTCTTTCTTTGGCACTCTCCCATGGTAGAATATAGGTAGACGTGTCGACAAAGCTGCTGGGACAATAAACTGTCAAACCAATTTTGTAATTGAAAATGTTGAATGAAAAATTATTTAAATTTGGCCACACACGTTACAACTGGGAGAGATTGTATTCAAGATTGTATCGTTTGTGGCCCGGTTGTACGAAGTTGTGTTTCGGTTGTACCAAAAATCAAATTTTTTGATTTTCGGCATGTTGTACCAACCGATTGTAATGTTTGTGGGCATGTCGCATACAATTTCATTTTGTATTTATTTTCAAAGGGGCAAACAACATTGTTTCGCACATCAAAACAACACGAAATCCAATCAAATGTGTGATTTTAATGAAAATATAAAACCAAAAAAATATATAAAACAGAATTTCAAAAATTAATAATGAATAAAGGCTATTAAGTAAAATAATAGAGCACGAAATTACTTCTGGTGTCATCTTAACTCAAATGAACTCTTCGAAAAGTGAAGTTGTACAAAGAGGTTGCATACAAAGTTGTATCGATTGTGGCCGAAGCATACAACTTGACAACCCTGCAGGTTGTACCAACGGTTGTATCGTGAGTGGCTTGCATAAGAATCTAATTATTTTTGAAAAAAATTAATTTTTTTGACATATCAATGTTCCCAAGCGTTGATGCATCTACCTGTATTCTTCTACCATGGCACTCTCCTAACAATTCAATTTCACTTACGCAAATTCTCCTCGCAAATCAAGCGGGAAAAGAGTTCATACCATGGCAGAAGAATACAGGTAGATGCATCAACGCCTATGAGCATTAACGTGCCAAAAAATTTAAATGTTTTTTCAAATATAAGTAGATTTTTATATGTTTCCCTATACAACGTCAGTCGGAGGCTAAAAAAATTCGCGTTTTTCAACAAATTTTACGACGTGTCTACATATATTCTTATACCATGGTTCATACAATCCATGGTAGAAAAATACAGGTAGATGCATCAACGCTTGGGAACATTGATATGTCAAATTTTTTAAATATTTCTGCAAAAATAAGTACATTTGTCTATGTTTTACCACACAACGCCAATCGGAGGTAGTTATAATATGCGTTTTTTTTTTACAAATTTGAGTAATTTTTCATTCAAAAATTACGATTCCAAAATTGGTTTGACAGTTCATTGTCCCAGCAGCTGTGTCGAAGTGCTACCTATATTCTTCTACCATGATACAGTCTCTTGTTTTCGGAGCGATTTTCATTTTGGTGTTTGTTTGTTATCGGCGTCGTCGGCGTCGTGTGATGGCCTGTACTTTGTGTTGTATATTTTGTGCCAAAACATAATCATAGGAGGCTGAGACTGATACTGTTTGTTGTTTGTTTCATTTCAGAAACATTTAGTTAATTAAATACTTATTTGATTTGTTTGAGACCATTCGTTAGAATTTGCTTGAGTTGCCTGCTGCATAAAAAACTATGGTAAGATAAATGACTGTGTATTTATTTCAAAAGAGCCCCCAGTAAAGGAGTAATGTAGTGAGCACTATCTACGATGATATTTGAGGGAAAATATTAAATGATATAAATAACATTTACCGACTTTTGTTTGCCCTTAGGGTCCACGATCGCGCAGTCGTTCCCGGTCATATTCTCCAGAAGATAGACGAGGACGTCGGTAAGAAATAAGAAATGCTTTCTTCACAAATTTGCTTAGTAGTATTCCATTTATTTAGTCGTTCCTACAGTCGTGACCGATATTCGTCGCCAGTTTCCAAGAGGCGCCAACCACCATCTCCCCCTCCTTTACCACCGTCAAGGCGCCGTAGTTACTCAAGGTAAGTTTTGGTTTTCCCTTGACATTGAGGTTATGTGACACTTTGTTTCAAATTGGTTTGAAGTTGTATCCCGTTTTGGGCTTTGTTTACAGAAAAGTTAGAAAAAATAGTAGTCGCAAAACTCCAAGATATGTCAAGAAGAGAACTCAAGCTCAAATCTCTTAAGAACTGAAATGAAATAACTACAAGAAAATGCGCACACATAGTCCATAATTTAATATAATTTTCCTTTTTACAAGATCGGAATCTCCAGGATATAACCGAAGAAATTACAGTAGTCATGGTAACAGATCAAAACCGCCAAGGTCTCGCTCTCCATACGACAGAAACTATCGCAATAACAGGGTAAGTTGGTACGAACAAAACGTGTCCACAAATCATTGTTAAACACATACATTCCTCAGGAAAAACCTTCTCCTTGCCGCTGTCTAGGAGTTTTTGGACTGAGTGTCCATACTACACAACAACAAATCAGGGAGATATTTAGCAAATACGGACCTATCGAACGAATACAAGTTGTAGTTGATGCACAGGTAAACAAATATTAATATTTTTAATATTTGCCCTTATGCCCCATTATGAAGCTCATTTTTCTCAAGATACAGTAGTAGTGAGCTCATTATCGGGGCTATATAATAATCAACAATAATGAGCTTTGATTCAAGAATATTGTGAGCGAAGCTAAAGGCTTGTGTGTAACAAATTAAGTAATCATAAGTTAAGGAATCGCTTGTGCTTCTGTGTGCAGACATTTTAATGGAAATTTCTTGCACTTGTAGACTGGTCGCTCACGTGGCTTCTGCTTCATTTACTACAAGCATTTAGCGGATGCCGAGGTCGCACGGGATCAGTGCTGTGGCCAAGAAGTTGATGGTAGACGCATTCGTGTCGCTTATTCCATAACAGAGAGACCTCATAGCCCGACCCCAGGTGTTTACAGGGGACGTTCTACGCGGTAATACTCACATATTTTTATAATTCTTTGACGCAAAAAAGTTATATATATATATATATACCTAATTACAGAAGCCTATCACAACGTAATCGTTCTCAACGCCGTCATTCACCTTCACCTTATAGTCGTAGCAACCGGGACCGCTACGAGCGAAGCCGTAGTCGTTCCCATTCACCACGTATGTATCCTAATATACATAATACAAGTATTTATGTTTAAAGTTTTCATTATTAATTGCAGGTCGTTATCGCTATTGATTTTTTTACCAACCTTTGGTACAAAATCGGTTCTCTACCAACTATACCCATATATATTAAAGATTTGATTTCGTTTATATTTTCTTTGACCCAACAATGTGTAACTTTGTTCCTCAAATATTTTTCTTTTTTCGCTAAACCAAAAATACTTTGTACTTTTTGTGAATACGCATGGAATCAGCTTACCATATATTTTGGCATCATACATTAACAAGGCCGCAATATTAAGAATTACCAATTCCAAATATTACTTTTGCTACATTTCACTTACCCATTTATTACCATATATAAGATAGTTAATTTTTATTATTTAACGGAATGTGTACTATTCCATTTATATTTGTTTTGTTCAGAATGTCGCCAGTAATTATAATTTCAGTAGATTATAAGGATTTTTGTAAAGAAACATACTACAATAAACTTTGAATTAAATCAGAAGAGGCTCTACGATGGATTCTGCTGGACCTGCCGTGATGTTTTATAAGCTATTTCTAAAGTGTTTTGAATAATATGCATGTCGTTCTCTATACTGCGGGCCCAATTCTCGACATCGCCTAGTTCTTTCAAAGCAGAGCTGAAATTATCTATTAGTTGTAGCCATTGCTGGGTTTGCTTGGCGAAATTTGTAGCACCAACATGCAGCTGTTTCGCCTCTGCGTCAAGCTTCTTTTGATTTAGATAGGCCTGGGCAACGCTGTTGTGAAATTAACGTAACGTATAAAGAGGACGAATGGTGAAAGAAATTACGAAATATATTGCAATAATCATACCCAACATTTAAGTGCTCCACTAGTGCCTTGGTCAATTCGTTTGATGCTTCTATAGCTTCCTTTCGCTTGAGTTCTTAAAAAGTGAAATGGGTAAAATTTTACGACAGACATTTAATATTTTTAATGTATACCTTGCTCCTGCTTCCTTTTGGTTTGTTTCGCCTGATGTTCTTTTGCCATGGAACTCAACATGTTTACCTTTGTTTCAAAAAATAAACAAATATACACGGAATATGTACAAAGCACAAGTCGTTTGGTTTGGTTGTTCGTTGCGAGCGTTGGAAACAAAAATGAAAATCGTCCAAACGAAACGAATATGAAGGCCACAAAGGAATACCCGATAAAAAATTAACAGAAAGCAAAGACTCGGGGTATTCTGTTGTTTACGAATGAGACCTGAGAAAATTGAACATCTTCACTAAAGAGCTCGGAACTAGCTACAAATTAAATTGAATTCGACGGCGGTGCGCCATTAGAGACGGACGGCGTAAGTCGACAGATGTAAACCCACTGGCGGGTTCAGGAGATGTATGGAATTCTCAAATATCAAAGATAGCACGAAACCGATCGGCTCGCAGTCGACTTTTAGCCGCCGCCGAGAATTTCACTGAAAAGAAAGACGGCACAGAAAGAAAATCTGAAAAAAATGTGGAATCAAAACAAAACGGCTGACAACATATGTTGTTGAACACATTCACCAAAAGAGCAAGGAACTAGGTACAAATTTAATTTGACGGTGTTGCCACACCCAGAAATGAATTATTAAATTAGGGTAAGCCGACTTTCGATTATTAGATGTGGTAGAAATTGTAATATCGGATTTTGTAATAGATTTGGGATTTTGAGACCAGAAATTTGCATTCATATATGTAATGGAAACCATTTCTGCTCTTTTTGAAATGTTTACGTTAGGACTATTTGTTGGGTTGATCTCCTTTATGAACATTTATTTAAAGTTTATTCAATAGAATTGACAATTTAAAGCCATTGAATTTCCTAAATCTAGTATAACGTAAAGGGATAAGCTTTATGGAAATTGTGATTATATTATACATATATATTATTGAATATTCTGTGGAATAAAAATATATTCATTATATAAAACCAATGAGATGTATTCGATTCGAATTCCACAGAACGGGTTGAAAGGTTTCCATCACAGAATCTGTAACTATTTAACGATAATTATCGATAATCGCAGATTCTAATTTGATAACGTTTATTTGAATTTGTACTTGAAAATTTTACGGTTGAAAGTTACCGAGTTATGACTTTGTTTTGACTTTGTCAAAATTGAATAAATGCGAAAGATGGAATTATCATTTTTCTGTGTTGAAAAAATCGGTAATTAACGAAATTTGACAGACAAATTTGGATAATATTGAAAATTAAGCAGTAGAGAGAGTAAAAATAGTAAGTGCCATGTTAACAAACTCCGTTCACATACAAAAAACATGATTGCTATCAATAAATGTGAAAAACTGTTGTTATAAACACTTTTTATTATTTTTGGTTCTTGAAGAATAGAATTTTTTGACATGGATTATGCAAACAGCTTGATATTTATTTACTGTATATGTTTCTTTTTTTTAACTAGAAATAGGTATATGGAATTATTCTTGTAATTAATATTGCTTTAATGCACTTTATTACGTTTGCTCTTCTTTTGGAATGTAAATTGCACTATTCCTTTCTTCGATGAGTTTTGTGCTATTAATCTTGCATTGGCTACTTGTGCTATATTTATTATGTATTATTTTTTGTATTCATGGTTTAATTGATAATATGAATTTCACCACTGTTCACAAACGGGTACCTTTTTGGTAAGAGAAGACAATTATTTAATAATATTATACAGTACTTATAGAAATATATTAAGAAGATATTTTCATCCAATATAGCGTATTTGTATAAGTAAATATAGAAAAACTCAATGGGAAGTTTTACATATAAAGTACACAACTATTCATTATGAAGGCATTTGTTTGAGAATATATGCTATTGTACTATTAATACAATATGTATATATGTAATATTCATTAATATTTGTTCTAGGTATACCGTATATATAGTGATTACATCAATAATAAAAAAGTCTAACAATTTATTTGATTTACATGTTTACAATTGTTTTGCATTGCTTGCACATCTCTAAGGGTAATATCATAATAATAATTTAATACCAAGAATTGATGTGTAAAAACAGAAATATCCCTTTTTTAAATGGTCACCTTACTAATGGCTCTGTTGAGGCCCAACACCCGCAGCACCATAAAGAAAACTAGATTGTCGTATCACCGACACGGTTGCGGCGGCAACACCAGCTTGAGGAGGTGGCGGAGGTGCTGGAGCTCTATGTTTTTTGAATGGTTGATAACCGGCGGGTTGAATCGGTTTTGTGGTCTTCGCCATTGCACTTGAAGTTGTGTTTGATGGTACTAATGGATTTGTGTTATTATTATCAGTGGTGACATTATTGTTGTTGTTAGTAGTAATAGCTGGAAAATACGATCAATTATTGAAATACCTTTTTTAATATCAAATATTTTACTCGTGTGTACATTTGAAAATGAATGAGAAATTAAAATCTCTGGGTAAATCAACAAAACAGATTACAAAAAAATGAGAGTTGTACGCCTTATTTTAAACAAAAACATTCTAATTGGAAGCAAACTTTATTTTAATTTTCAGAAAAAAAGGCCAACTTTAATATCACATTATTTCCCAATGGAATAATAAGAAATACTCTAAAAAAACTATAGAGAAAAGCTCTTTTTTATCATGTAGCTCAGCTTAGCAATTTTGATATCTGAATCTGCCAAATAAAAAAACTATTAACATGGAAATAATGAAAAACAAATGGTTATGAGATAATCAAGAGTGTATATGAAAAATAAAAAGTCTCTTGACGATATAATCTAAAAAAAAGGAAACCCAAATGTTCTACAAATTTTAAGTTGCAAATGAAAACACTCTTAGTTGGAATCAAATTTTATCAGCTAACATTGATTTAAAGATGTCCTCACACACACAAAAAAAAAACTATCAACATTATAATTAAACTAAAATAATCCTAATAAGGCGATCAGAATTGTTCTTATCCTGTGATCACTTTTTTCACACATTCAATCTAAATAATAATAAAAAGAAAAAAAAAATAAAAATAAAAAAACAATGATTGTATATGCGGTTATTTCTTTTATTTGATATTTTATTTCACACACGTGTAAAAAGGTAATACAAGAGTTGTTTGTGTGTAGAAATATGTATGCAAGTGTAAATGTGATTTGGGTTTTGCTAAATTTGTAATCATAATTCAAACGGAAACAATATTTTTTACAAATGTAGATAAAAAAATAATGAGTTGCATGCGATCTATAACATATAATATTATAGGTATATTGTATTGGAAATCGAAACGAACGGCCGATCTTTAGACGATTCATCAGGATTACACAAGAATGTTTTGTCTAACTATTTGATGTTGGACTACATTCTAGAGTTGAAATTTTCAGTACCAAACGTAATATAACATGATAACATCTTCTAAAATCAAATGTTATAAATGTATAAAAACAAATACACAAGAATTCAATATAAAGCTATAATTCATTTTTTTTTTGCAAAGAGTTCTGACTTCAACGATCTTTTGGGAAACATTAAATTAGTTTAATGATTAGATAACATTAAAAGTAAAATTATAAAAGGCATTTACAAATAATAATAATAATAAAAATTCAATATACAAAATATTACAGTGGGAAGAAGGAGGGGGGAGGTGTAAAATGCTTTGCTTGGAAATCGCTTAAAATAATACATTTGCAGATAGTATATTTGTTGTATATGAATTAGTTAAGAAAAGTTCATTACATTTTCGAATATCTCTCGCGTGCAGTGTTCTTTCTAAGAAGATGCTGTAAACAATTGTATCCAAATAAAATAAAAACAAAGAATAATTTTAAAACTTATGTGGTAGGTTATAAGAAGAAACATAATTTTTAAACGGCAAATGAAATGCATTCCGACTTCATTTCACCATCATCTTCCAATCATTGCCATTTTCATAGTTTACATTTGAAATACGGACAAATGAAGAGTGATGCCTTTGCTTGCATGTTACATACCATTTGTTGCTTTGACGGTTCGACTAGGATACGCTTTGTGAATGTTCACAAATGGTGGGGGCTTTGGGAACTCGGTTACATTGTGGAAACGTTTACCGAACTTGGATTCCAAATCAGTGACCAAACGACTTACAGCATTTGCACTGCCAAAGTTGGGGGTTGCATTGATGCCAGCTGGTGGTGTTAGTGGAGCATTGGCTCGTATGGATGAATGGCGTTGAGGTGGTACAGGTGGGGCTCCACTCGACTAAAAAGAAAAATGTAGAACATTTGGAACATTAATACCCGAGTTTTGTATAAGTTAACATCGGAATCCTTTTATTACAATATAAACTGTTTCCAACAGAAAAATGTATGCCTTATTTGGACACATGCCTATACTATGTATTGGAAAAAATTACCCTATTTCTGTAATTAATCATCATAGGTATTTGAAGAAATGTCAATACACGTAGCACTTGTAAAATGTATCTCTTCGTTCACTCCCCTCGACACGTTACACTATGCGATTAGTTTATATTTCAATCCAATTCAAGCGTTTCCACTTAATTTAACGCATGTATTTTCCTTTAACGATTTTTCCATAACAATCGTAGTATTATTGTTGACTGTGTTTCGTCCGAATGCAGTGAAATGCGACACAAACAGTGATAGGAGTATATATGTATATAAATTCCTTTGTTGGTGGTGTAACACAAATAGGACAAGCAACAACTTTCCGCCACAAACAGTCATAAAAAGGTATAAAGAGAATTGGATGCGAGCAAAATGTTGAGGTATAACATAGTGCTTGTGCTGTGGGTTGTTTAAATTTTACGCTTCTACGCTGTGAGCAAGAAGAGAGAATAAATGGCACACGAAAAGAATGAGAAAAGTGTTTGCACAACATTTTCCCCATTACGGAGGGTTCGTTGTATATCTCTCGGGTTATAATGTGTAGACAATTATTGCCTACTTTTAGGGGTTGAAGAGAAACCGTAAGATTTGTATGAATGAATGAATGAAAGTCCTCTCACCCCAATTCGAATACATATTCATTAGTTCGACTCACAAATACCATAGCGGAATGAACACAACTAAAACGTATTGAATTGATGCTCTAGACATATTGGCGCCATCAAGGCCATATATGTTAAAAAGGACATCCTTAAATGTAAATATAAAGCTTAAAGAATAAATTCCATTATGTCGGAGCTACAAGAAACAAAAAAATTGCTAACCATAGCTGTATGACTGTCGTGCAATACGACATGATACCTATTTTTTTTTGGATTTTTCCGCGACTACTTACAGTTACGTTACCACTGCTAGATTGTCTTTGAGGTGGCGGTGGCGCTGGACATGTCCTATGTGGCGGTAATGGTGGTGCATTGATTGGACCTCCGTTTAGTATAATTGGTTTCGGAGATTTACTGCTCAGTGGACTACTCGAAGACTTCGCTGGCGGAGACATGGCGGTAGAAGATGGTGGTGGGGGAGGTGGCGGTGTTGAATTTGCACCGGTGCGAAATTGATCACGCAAAGCGGATACACTGTTCGTTGATGAAGAATTGGAGGGCGGTTGAGTGGAAGGCGGCGACGAGTTCACGCTTGTTGCTGACGATATTAGCGCCGTATTGATGGCCGCAACAGGCGCAGCAGATGATGCGGAATTAGAACTTGAGTTGGTACTAGAATAAAGATTTAAGTTCGAATTCGATGTACTGCGTGCTGGTGTAGGCGGTGGTGGTGGCTTAACACTTGGGGGCTTGGGTGGTGCCACTGTGGGTCGACCTATTCGAATTGAATCAAACAAAACGTTTTTAGCATAGATGTGAAACATTCAACAAAGTTTCAATTGCTTACCAATTGGTGGTTGAGGTGCCGATCGCAAACCAGAATTAATAGCTTCATGCGATTGCGCCAATGGTGTGCGCATTGTTCCGAATTGTTGTTGTGTTGGGAATACTGGACCTCCACCCGAAGTTGTTATTGGCGGTGACCTATTAACATTTAAATACAAATAAAATTATGAGCTTCAATCTTCAGCAGATGGGATTAAGATTCGTTATTTGAAGCCGTTTAAAACCAATTATCAACATGAAATTATTTAAACAAGCACGTTGGAAATGTTTAAGTGAGTTTTGTTTTGGAAAGGTTGTTTTTGAAATGTGAGCTATGAGCTATGTAAGCTTTATTTTGATTGCTAAGCTTTGTTAATGAGCAAGGAGGAGGCAATTTCATTGTTTTATACCTGGGTGATTTCATACTATGGTGACGTGCCACGGCTGGCCTTTGACCAGCCAATTGCTGCAGACCTGGTGGCTTTGGGGCAAAGTTCGGTTTGCCATGGTTAGGCTTCATGGAAAGCAGCAGTGGAGATTTCGTTGGCGGAGATGGTGACGCGGATGCAGATGGACTACTGCTAGTGCTACCATTTCCACCGGCATTGCTACTAAATAAGGTCGACTTGTTTGGTGCTAGATTACGCAATGATCCCGATGTTGCCGATGATGCTACCAATGACGATGAGCTATTTGTGTGGCTGTTGTTGTTTGAATAGTTGGTTGTGGTATTTAGGGATGATGTTTTTGTATTACTGTCATTGTTGTTATTATTTACAAATACATTATTATTCCCTAATGTCAAGCTGTGAAAACCAAAAACAAAAAAGTGGTGTAAAATAAATTTACATAATAAAAAACAAAATACTAATAACTAAAAAACGATAAACAAATATATACACCAATAACAAAATTTGGCATGCAATAAGAAGGAACATATGTTTTAAATGTGCGATATACTCGCTAACGAAAAATTCTGAATAGTGTTTGAATGTGTGTAACACATAATGTTAGTGAACAATGAATAATTCAAATGTGACATCCGAACAGCTCAAGTTTTTCTCTTTGACTGAAAAAAAACGCCGCGTTCACGATTTTATCTTCCTTTTGAAATAGAGTACAAATTCCGTGTATTCTATTTCTAACTAAAACTCGGGCAGATACTTCGTCAAACTTAATATTTACTCTTTATTTCTATATGTAAACGATGGCAATAAAAGTTGGCCAGCCAATTTCATTTATATTGAAATGCATATGAAAATATATATATTTACACAACCAAATTCCGAAAGAACCAATGAAAGCTTTAAATTTCCCTTTTCAGACATGCCGACTAGACTTATTTCGAATTTATATAGTGGTGCATAAACTATAGATATGTGCAAAAAATATATACGCCGGAGACAAAAAATTAAATTTACATTGTGGTTATCGTTTATTTATATCGTGAACTGCAAAAGTTGGCAGCAATGCACCATTAAAAAATGTTTTAAAAAATGTAAAAAAACCACAAAGAGACAAAAAAAAACATCTAACAGAAAAATTTTAATCTAATGTGAATAAAGGAAAACAAAACCGTACCATTTCTGTCCTTCTATGAATTGTAATAACCACACAATGGTCTTAGAAATATACAGGGGGCATTGTCAACGTTATGAATAGTAATATTACTCACTTTAGATTGGCGGCTTTACTCCTTACACTTCCCCCAGTGTTGATTTGCTTCATTAATTTACTATTGATTTCCGATGTTGTGGCTGGAATGGGTTGCTTCGATGTATCGTTGTTCGGTAAAATTGTTGGACGTGTGGCATTGGATCTGCTCTTTTCCAAAATAGAATCGGAAGTGCTCTGAAATGGAAAAAAGTTGTACAACAAAGAAAGGGCAATTAATTTGAATATAATTTATTTTGGATAGCTTTTTTGTTCTTTTTTTTAGAGAGCAACATACCGTTGATAAGTTTTTGGGTGGCTGTGTTGGTGGTTGAGGTGGTGGTCCGCGATTTGTTTTGAAATTTGCTTCTGTGGCATTGATATGAGGTGTGGAGCCTGACGTTTGCTGTTGTTGCTGTTTTTGCCGTTTAAGGGTCAAATGTTTCGTTAGTTCTGCACTGAAATCCATTGGACCACTGTTTGATACTGCATTTGATGTTGGCGCTGATGGAGGGCTGTTGCTGCGACCATTTGTTGCTGAAGACGATGCAGCTGGGCTTGCTATTAGGAAAAAATTGGTTAAATGTATTTTCGCAAACAATTTGAAATAACATTCATACCCCTACTCCCATTAACTGGCTTTAATTTCGGCATTGAAGTCAGACCTTCAAACAAACCACCCAGTTTTGGTCCGCCATTACCATTACTGCTGTTGCCAGTGTTGCTGCTGGCTCCTCCAATAACTTGTCGCTTGGGCGAGCCGCTGTTTGGCGATGTACTGCCGCACACCTTACCAGACATAGCAGGACCACTTTTATCCACGGTAACTGTTGGCCTGAGGGCTTTGCCTTTTTGTATAGATTGTAGTAAGGCTGATCGAGCCTGATCACCACCGCCACCTCCTAACTTTAAACCGCCCATGGCAGGTGGAGGAGGTGGACCTGGTGGTGGTGGCGGTCCTGGTGGTGGAGGTATAGCCATCTGTAAAAAGAAAATTGTTCACTTTTCAAAAGAGTATTTCGCACAAAATTGTCTAAAAGAGAAAATCTATGGCTAGTGGTCATCAGTTGATGTGATGAACTGAAATTAACGATGATACATAAAAACATTTAAATTTACTTCTTTGTCATAAAATCTATGTTTGATAAGGTACATTTTCAAAAATCTACGGAGCACAGGTATCACCACCAAGGAATTGTGTTTTATTTGGCAATTAAAACAAAACTGACTTTTAATGGGTTGTGCTGATCAAATTCGTAACAGAAATATGTTAGTTCTTTTCTTCTCTACACCTAGGAAACCTACGCATTTTTGAAGTCGTTAATATTGGGAGATGTATTGTAACATGAACTAGGTGAGTGAGTGAGTGTGTCTGTTATTGCACAGTGTACAAAAACAAAGTGTCAAGTCAATTCGTCCCATAGTAGTTCTACTTAATTTTTTATTTCACACGTTCTTGAATAGATAACAACTTTTTTACATTATTATTATGATTAAAACGTGAGAATGATGTGAAATTCTTTGACCTAATTAACAATAATCAGAATAAACCAGTGAATATTTGCTTCGGTTTTGTCTTTTAGGGGTAGATCGTGTTTTCTAGTTTTCTTAAATCTGTTTCTCTTCTTTGGGTGAGCTTAATGAACTGAAATTTGCAACGAAAAAGTTAGGCCAGACAGATATCAAACATTCACCATTATGCAACGCGTTATGATGTTGGTTAAGAGGCTCATGAGGCTTATTTTAGATTCAGAAGACTGTCTTGAATGGTTGTTGATAAAATATAAACAAATGTATACATCAAAACATTCGCGTAGCTTCATCCTACGTTTAATCAAATAAATTGTGGTGGTCATTACGGCCAAAAATAAAGAAATCTATACAAAATGAAATAAAAAACCCACGCATTTATATCTATAAAACCTTCTCATATTAAATGTCATGTATTGGCAGCAGTTATATAGGTATATTATTATGTTTAAATGGCATTATAAGCGTGGTACAGTAAGTTACAAAATAAAGAACAAAGAGAAGTGAGTTCTATGGGAAAAAAGAGAGTTCAACTGTGTTAAATGCCACTTTTTCTGCAGCCCTCTCTGTCCTACAAACTGACTTTACTTTCCGAAAAAACTGAAAACCATTTGAATGAAAATTTTCTCATTTATTAATATGCAATATTAATAAAATTTAAATGGATTTATACATCAAATTGCACATTTGGGAACATTGGGATAGCATACAGTATGGCTCAATAAGGAAGGTTGCCCAAGTTCAAACAAAGTAGAACAAGTAAAAAAGCTGTAAATTCGGCCGGGCCGATCTTTGAATACCCTCCACCATTTGGAACGATTTTGGCAATTTTCAAAAAAAAAAAAAATAAAATAAAATCCGTTAAATATATATATTGGGGCTATGTGAAGACGTGGACTTTCACAGACATTTTTCTGTCCTAAGCTGTAATACCCATTACCAACTTCAAATACCAAATTTAAAACAATTCCGGTGAATAATTTCGCTGAAATACCGAATATCGGGAAACATTTTCGGTGAATAATGTCGGTTAAATCACCAAAATACCGAAAAAATAGAGGTATAGGGGCTATACCAAAACGTCGACCTTTTTTTGCAAAGATATGCGGCACACATCACAGTTCGATACCAATTTATGTAACATAAACGAACACGTGTAGTAGTTTTGGAATTCCTAAATATTTTATGCATGTTGCATTTTGATTTAGTTTATCAAGGGTTTTTAAACTTATTAATAGAGTCCAGAAAATGTAAATTATGCTTTCCGGATATCCCGTATACCTGCTTAGTATAATTTTCAGCGTTTGATTTTAAGCGGTGACTTTTTGTAACATTGAATGCGGAAACATTCCTTTATTTCTGACAAAGAATACAATACGAAAATAAATGCTTAAAACGCAATGACAAAGGCAAACTTAAAACGCTCAACAAATTCATGAATAAAATCTTGAATAATCTTCAATTAAGATTCCAAACACGTTGTAATGCCTGACAGACTGAGGCCGGTCTATATGAGGCATGTTTGTTTTTTATTTCCAAGATTTTGCTTATGGACAAGACAACAATAACAGCAAATAAATGAAAAAAAGAAACACTAGAATAAAACAATAAAAAATGACAAAACAAACCACAAAAAATGAATGAATCATTGACGCGGAGCAACACAATGCTAAATGAAGGAAGCACATAGTAATCACCCATTTCTTTGCGATTAGAAAGAATGAAATCAAAACAATTACCTTTAGCAGATAATCAGCAGTGACGATATTTTGGCTGTCTATGCCTTCCAAACAAATAAATCGATCACTTCGCTCCGCTTAACTTCAAGTTCGACGGTACGTTTATTTCTTTATATTATCTTCACTTGCACAAACTTTCTGTTTATTTTTTTGGCGTTTCTTTGAATTGCAATCCTAGCTTGGCTTAATTAAAACATTAACTTGCAGCTGAGTTTTAATAAGCGAATAAAATGCAAATGTCGAAAATCTTGCTTAAAATCCAAACACGCACGTTCATTTGCACCACACTGAATGACAACAACAACCCTTTTGGCTGGCTAGCAGGGTAAACAATTGGCTCTGCCAGTCGTTTTCATTGCAAAGCGATATTGGAAATAGTAATGTTATTGGTGCCCACAGCAGCCACTGCGATGAAAACAATTGCACCTCCCCAGCTTAAAACACATGTAAGGCTGGCTATTGAGTTGCGCATGCGATCACCACAAGTTATTCGTTGAAGAGATAAGAAGTGAAAACAAAAACCCGAAAGAGTTCAAAAGCAAAGAGATGTCGACTTACTCTACCGAACGATCGAAAAAGTTGTGGAATAGCAGTGCACAGAAAGAGAACTGGCTAGATTGGCAGCAGCGCTATAGACATGAGTCATTCAAACATAGCGGGAGAGTAACAACAAACTACTAGCCCACGGTTGTCTGTCAGTTGGGGGGGAGAGCAGCATCGCCACCATTAACATCAATAAGTGCAAGTGTAAATATCCATTTTGTTTGTATGTGGCCGCTTATACCATCACAGTTCGTAAAATTCACGTAATGAATGGCATTGTGGAGGTCGCGTATTGCATTTTTTATGCATTAATCTCCACAATAGTCAGCAGAGAGAACCGAAACATTGCATTTTTGTGTTCACATTTAGTAGATTATTTTCTTTTAAATAGTACTATGATTAGGGCCTGTAGTTGACGTCATCCAACGATCTTTTACATTTTATTGATCACTGAATCAATAATAGACAGTGGATAAGTCATGATAAAATAAGTATCTTGTAAAATACAATCAGAATATCTCTTATGAATAAGATATTGAGTTATATTGGATTCAATTAAATCTCTGTGGGCAATGAACTATCACAGATAGATAAAGATGATTCGCTCAGTTAATTTTAAAAGGCCAAGTATAAAGGACAATGTCATCGACCTGGGTTGTGGCCCTGAGGTAGCATATTTTTAACACCTCTATCCAGAATTTTTTGTAATGTTTTGTAACTCGTCTTTGTCCCATTATCTCAACGGATATTTCCATCAAAGTACTCTTGTAAAAGAGAAAAAGGGTTTATCGGTCCGATACCTTTCAAAATTTTGCAATCGAAATATTGGAAGCTTCCGATAGTTAAAGTTTGGATGATCTCGAATCCATTATCCATTATTTTGAGTGTATTCATAGAGCAAAGAAAGTATAGACAAAGAAAGACTTATAGTAGCAGCTTCGACAGAATTCCATTAAGCAAAAGTCGTCAATGTCGCTCTTAAGGCTCAGTAAATTTATTTACCACCTCAACATGGAGTACAAAAATTCAATTAATTAATTGAAAGCAAATTTAGATCAATAAATCGGATTTCAGTGTTTTCCCTATGTGTTTATTGGAGGAAATAGTAATTAAACATGGTTAAAGCCTACCTAATCCCTGCCTTTTTACAAAGGTCTCTATAACTGGATGTCATTTTTAAGAAAACGTATAAAATGGGAAATAAAACTTGAATGAGAAAATTAATCGCAATTGTTTATTTTTTTCTTTGCTGATTTGGCATTGTTTTATGAAATTTAATATGATTGTGGTTTACATTTCGTCATCTTCATTATTGCTATTAGCATTATCATCGTTGTGGTAGATTTACTACCTATTGTGCCTCAAACATCCCAAAAGCTATATAAACTACACAGTGTGTTTTATAAGTGATTTGCATTTGATAGGTATATTTACATATTTAGGACGTAATTCCAGAACTAAGTAAAACAAATACCTTTAATTCATATTGAATTTCAAAGCAATGTGTTTAATTAACCAAAACTAGAATCATTTACACTACGGATCACTCTAATACATTTCATTTGTATTCTACTCATAGCCAATTGAATGTAAAACTCAAACCAAAATTATGTTAACCAAATAAATTCAGCAGCTGGCGATTGCGTATTAAACTGGTCAATAGCAACTTGCCTGTTATAGCTGATAGATAACGAGCTTAAATTGGATTTTTTCCACAAACAAAAAATAAATGCTATTTCGCCCAGTCATAGCGGACAAATGCATTAGTTTTGTAAATAAAACAAGCCCTTGTTTTGAAAGGGCGTTGTAAAAGATATTTTGTTGACTTTGTTTTAAGGCTTCTGATAGATTCAATGGAAATACTAAACAAAGATTTATGAATAGAAAAATGCCATATGGCATATTTTAAATGACGCGGAAATTTTAATTTCCACCGTTGAATAACAAATTCCCGAATGATTCATGCTGATTGTGGTTTTAATTTACAGCAAACATTGCTACATACATTTATCAACGCTTATCATAATTTTAAAATGAATTGAGTGTGTACTTATCTGGTCAAAAATGGCACACCCTATGAATGAATGAAAAAAAAATGGAAACAAACAACTACCTATTTAATGTACTGACCAAGGTGGAGTTCTTTTTGTCAAAGGAAAATCAATTAATAAACCTACGTATCATTAAAATGGGCAATCCCAAAATTAACAGAGGAACAATTGAAGAATAATGGCAGATTGTCAGACAATCCAAAGCATGACGCACATTCCGCGTATGCTATTACATGTTCCATTTATTTTCCCACCAAAGCAAACGAATTACTGTTAAAAAGCTGTTACAAAAGCGAATCAAATAAAATAATAAGAAATGAAATCTGATTCATATCTTCATGCAATCACAGTTGTAACGCCAGCTTGAGGCACAACCGTAAGCCAAAGTATGAACGGGTATAACTACAAAGAAAATTGTGACTCATAACTGTTCTGCCTTTATTTGTTTAATATTCTGTTTTGTAATAATGCTTTGGTACAACGATGACGAGGGAAACACATGTTGCATACATCCTCATCGGCATTGCCCAGAAAAACATCATCGAGCGCTACCATAATTGTCGACATTGTTCTGCATATAAAGCGGGTAACATGAGGAGGTGGTCATACATATATACATATATAACAAAAATTGCTCTTCGAAATTAAAACAGAATTTGTAAATCTAATAAATATAATACCGATTTGAATTGCAATATTTCAGTAGGAGATTTTACTCTCCACTGATGAATTACCAGTCAAAATATTGAGCTATGACCTTAATTTTAAGCCATATATGATAGAATTCCTCAGATTTGCACATCAAAAGAATTAAAGATAGGTATTTTCTTACACCTATACATATATGTGCTGGTATTATTCAATTTATTTATGTGAGCTGGAGCGTTTGGAATTATTTATCTTGTTACTAATGGATTGAGTAAAGGCTGTGTCACAATTGTATAAATTATAGATTTATGGAATGAGAAAACTTGTGTAAGCCCAGTTTTACAGGCAGCAGCACACTATGCAAAATTGTAATTGTTAACTTGTCTTGTTAGTAAGTCTGTGATTGAAGTTTGAAAAACCTCTCAAAAACCTCTTTTTTATTCTATACATTTTGGTTGATAACGTTTTTGCTGTTTGATAGTCTGCCAAAAAAGGTTGGTGGCCCCACTGAAAGGAGTTATATTGTTTACCTCAATAAGTAACTAAAAATGCAAATATTTCTTTGTGTTTTTTACTTCTTTGTTATTAAATATATATGGGCACAACTAGATAGCTCATTTTTTCTTCTACAAATGTGTTAGTTGATAGCGCCTGATGGTTATTTTTATATTTCTTTTTTGCATTATTCACCTTTGTCAGCGTGTTAGTTAACTAGTATCTTATCCAATGAGTTTTAGGTCTCTACATTTTGTATTTTATAAAAAATATATAGGTACAAGCTTTTTCAAAACAGATAAGATAGCTGCAAATTGATTAGACGCGATATCATTGGAAGTGAGTAGAGGAGTAGTAGCACCAGTAAATAAAAACACTATAGGTAATGTGAAAAAAGAAAGAAAATCCCCTGCTGAATGATCTCTGAGCGAAAATAGTACACAAATTTCCCTTCCCATTTGGCCATTTTTATTTTATTTAGCTTAACTCGACGGTTGCACAGACGATATAACCTCCCACTACGATAATAGACAATCTGTATTATCTCCATTCTAATCTAAAACAGAATGAAAACGAATATACACACATTTGCAATGGGCACAGCGTTGTTTGTGTATGCATGATCATTGATGTCGTTTATTTGTTTCCATCCGTTTGTAAAAAATGAAGATCAAATGAAACAGATACCAAATTGGAGGTTTGTGTGGCGTGGATATGCAAATTACGAGCGATCTCATTCCATAAACATAGAAAAAAGTTAAATATTTCAACACATGAAGCGTTTCATTGCAAATGACTCATTTAAGAGAACACTAGTTATGTTGTTAGGTGCTATGGTTCTAATGGATCTTCCAGGCATTTTTAAGTTTGCATTGTTAAGTCTAATTGAGGATTATGAATTTATTTCTCTCTTCAGACGAGAACGATCTGACATTAATTATTCGAAGGCATTTCTTAAAAACTTCAAAATATTCCAGAAAATTTAAGAGAACACAGCCAATTGGCTCAAGGTTATTAACATGACGGTATGGTATGGCGCTGATAATATTCCACCGGTAAGAACTGTATTTTTGTGCGAGGATCGTCCTCTCGTGTTGATAAATAATAAGTCATAAGCAAACTACTAAATATACATGTCTTATTCCTAGCCCTTTCGGATGGTGCGACATTGAAATTTGTCCTTTACTTAAAATATATTTTTATAAATACGTACAACAAATGTGAGTTCACAATAGCAAATTTACTTCTCACGTAAGATCTATGTATGTAGAGGAAGGGGTTTACATTCATTGAAATAGTCCACAACCAACGTGTAGCACCATCAGTGTGCGTGCATTAGAAATCAAGCAAATAGGTAGCTATTTATATTTTTTGTTTTATGTTGGGGTTGTTGAATGTTTAGCATTAGCATAGGTCATTGACAGAGGTAAACATAAACTAATCGTTGCATTTTTGACTTCTTCATATGGGTACATGGGTATGGGCATTTAATCTTATTGCGATTGTATTCTTTTCCTCGGAACATGTGAGATGACATGGGAAACAATAACAAATACCCCACACAACAACCTCCTGCAGAGTCAATCATGTTGCCGTGGTGCCATAGCCTCTTTTAGACCGAAGTAAATAAACTTAATGTGGGTCATTTTAAAGAGTAACAAGACCAACATGCATTTTCTTCGAACCTCTTTTTACGTTATACCTTTTAAATCGTCAACGTCGAAACATTTCGATGCAAAAAGTTCTGAAATAAGCTTAAATTGTTACTGCAAATGCACTCATTGCTACTTGTTATGTGTAGGAAATGTGATATTTCCTATTTTGTTTCATTTACATGCACACTGTTGGTATGCTTGAAGAAGTAGTGGAAATCTAACGTATAAATCATAAAATATAATTTCCAATATGCCTAGTTGGACAAGCTTAGTGCGAGTTGGCATATGTAATTAGGACATGGAACAAAAATTGTATTTCCTAGAGGCCTATCAAGGTGATCATCTCAAAAAGTAATAATTTATGAGGACCATTAGTGGACTGTTATTTTTAGAAATTTTTACCCAAAAACTGTATTTATCCTAACTCATACCCTAAGATGACAAGTTTTTTAAACAAATCGTAATTCTTTTAAAGACCAAACATGCCAAAAATAGGCATGACACACTCATATATCCCCGTTTTAATTCCAATATTATCTCATGCATTGACCCATTTTTATGCAAGTAGGACTTGACTAAAAAGTAGATAAGATATATTTCATATGGAAACTCGAAACTCCCATTCGCAATTAGTGTCGTGCTACTGTATAAGTAAATACGTACATACCTTCAATATTTATATCGCAAATTAGTTTTGGTTTGAAATTTAGTCTTTTTGCAGTGTGTTCCACCTTGGGATCGAATGGCAAAAATTTGGTTTGGCTAGAAAGTTTCTACTCTTCTTTGATCATAAGTATATGAACATTTGACTTTTTTTGTTTTAGTGTAAAAGCAACAAAAATATCCCAGAAATACTCTCAGGAGTGTTCCAAAGCCATTAAATAATTTATATTTTAGAGCGTGAATTCCTTTTTTTTGGCAGAACCTTGATTTTTATAACATTTATCATTTTTTCTTGGTGGCAATTTTTTTGTTTTTTTTTATTTTTTTCTTTTCTCTCACACACACTCACTTTGTATTCGTTTGTTAATACACCATAAAATAAATGCAATTCTCAATGTTGATGGTTAACTTTTTTCGTTGGTGCGTTCCGTGGAATCGATAAAATACGTTTCAGAATTAAAAATTACAAAAAAATAAATGTAAAATGTTTATATCAAACGATAAAAACGCAAAAATATTTGCGTGTGTTTCTTCCTCTATTTTTTGTTTCTTGTGTGTGCCGTTGCTCTGCTTCCGACGATAGTGAACTATGAACTACTCGAACTAGTTCACTCAAAAGCGCTCGTGAATAAAATGAACTGGAAAAAACTGTCAAATGCAAAATATGCGTGATTTTTATTGTAAACGTAACGTACGTAACGCACGTGATGAATCACAGTTGTATAAACTAATGAATATATAGTGAATGAATATATATATCTGCTGATCCGATTTTTTCGAAGATAAACGATGAGATCATTTCGTTGTCTATATTTTCATTTATCTATGGTTGATTTTGCGTGCTGAGAGTCATCTGCATAAAAAGAAAAAACTAACTTTCCGTTGTCTATATATTCATTAGTCTATGTTTATTAGTCTATGGGAAAGTTAGTTTTGTCTTTTTATCCAGGTGGCTCTCATCATATTTTGCAAAGTTAACATGCTGATTTACGCGTTCAAGCCACTCGAGTGTTTTCCTTGTCTTGCAGGTTCTGGAACACAGCACATGCATATGTAAAAAAGCAACTACAAACGTAAGAATTATTGGTTTTTATTTTTTTATTTATATTTCCCAATTAAATAATCAATATTGTAAGTAATTTATTATTTGTTATTAAGAAAACTAAATTAGTTTCATTTCTTCCTTATTTTGCCCTTTCGTTCCATAAAATCTTTTATTATTTCCTCAACCCTTCGACCGTATGACATGTCCTCCAATTCCTTTCTGCATTTCATCCATATGTCTGTAAGCATTCCCTCGGTCTTGTAATATTTAATAACATCATTTCGTCTAATCCATTTTTCTATCATATTTGACTTCCATAACTCATTAGAATGCTTCAATTGATAAAATGTCTCATATGTTTGGCAATATGTTCTACTTTTTTCTGCATCTAGCTGGGGAATGTTCAGAAAAGTTTGTCGTATAATGCGATACGGATCATAGTCAAGATTGTAGTTTTCATTGCCCACTGCATCCCATTTAATATTTAACATTGCATCGTACAGCTTTTTGGGTCGGCCCAAAATTCCATGGCTGACATCGATTAGGCATAGCTGTGAAGATGGCACAATGTATTCCAGTTCGATTTCTGCAATACGTATATCATTGCCTCGGTATTTTCTCTCTCCTATCCAAAGAATCGGAAGATTTTCGTCTTCGACATTTTTCAGTTCTTGAATTAACGGCGAGGTTTGAGCACGATAATTGCACCGTTTGTAATTATTTCCATATAAAATACTGGCTTCAACATTCGACAGACCAAGCTTACACTGGACCAATGCAAAGTGTTCGGATCGAAACAAACGATCAATTTCCCAATTAATAACCGTCACACTGCGCCTCTGCATTGCAATCCACACAAGAACTGTGCAGAAAGCAAGGAAGCATTCGTGAAATTGTTGATCTTTTATTGATAATGAAATGTTAACCACCGGTTTCATGTGGTAAAATTTGTTGGTGTCACCTTCGCCCAGTAGTACACGACTGTATTCTCTGGCCAACAATAGGCGATATTGTGATAGCTTAGCCGAAAATATACGTTTGATTTCAGTGCTGTCTTGATTTTGCATTTGTGCATTCTCGCCCACCATTTCCTCCCTTCGTATCAATATAAACTCCAGTATTTTTAGGAAGTGTTCAAAATAAATAATTAACGATTTGATAAGGGAATGAACCGACTCGGTGTTTAGGAATTTGACAAAATTTTTAGAGGTCATTTCCGTTGGGGCCAGAAAAAGGACAAGGTTTTTAATATCTTGCACAAGTATGACGTCGCTATCGTGTGTATCATCCGGTCTATCAAATTCTTGACGAAATATCATTTCTTCAACTTTATCCATTAAACTTTTGAATTTATAACCACCAACATTGATGAAATCTTTACTCGTTTCTTTAGAAGCGTCCCTTGCCAGAAAACGTTTAGGTTCGAAACAATCTTCAATGTTTGGTACCATTTTTAAGGCAGCTTGAGTTATTTTTCCGGAATGAAAATCAATTAAAAATAAAAACGAACCTGTGTGCCAATATAATTTATTTTAAAACGTCTTTAAAAATTGTTGAATTCAGAAAATCAGGAGGCGGAGAGTAATTTTGCCTGATTTCTGAGATTGTCTTTACCTCCAATAGATAAGAAATTTGGTGCTTTAGTTTTTTTTATTAGAATTGAATTTTGCCTTTGATAAATACTATTTACTGAAACTATTTTGCTAAAAGATATTTTTTTAAATATTAAAAATGTACACAAGCATTTCCTTTTGCAGCAAGAAGCCATAATTTTATATATACATAAACTAGGGATGTATTAGGTTAGCGATTAAATCGTTTATACCACTTCAAATTTTCCAGAACAACAGTTCAGGTGATCAACAGAGTGCTGGACTGAAGGTAACTCTTTGGTGTTCTCCTTTATTTCAGTTATAATATCTTGAATTTTATGCAGAATCTGTTGAGATTCTAAGGAATTTAAATTCTTAATATGAGGCTCGGGGGACGATTTGCAATTATCGTTTGTGGTTTCAGTAATGCTGTTAGCCGGTGTCAACAATGGATCTTCAGGTGGACAGTCCTTTTCAACATGACCATCCTGTGTTGCACTTTCCGCTAGTGCTTCATTAAGTTGTTGGTGCAACTGATGTTGCTGTTGCGTTAGCGGTATTTCCATGCCTAAGCTGTTGACAAGATTATTTAACATGGTAAGACGTTCTCTCATTTGTTGCCGTTCCTCTTGCAGCAGAGCTGTTTGTGCAGCTTTCTCATATTCCCTTTGCTTAAGAATTCGCCTTTGGGTCTGATACAAGGCTATGTATTCCCCTATTGTCTCAGTTTCTGATTGTAGTTGCATAACTAAGTGCTCCAAGCGCTGTTTTTCTTCTGTTAGGTCTGCGACTTGACCCATGAGTTGTGTGAACCTTAATTGTAATTTCTCGACAGCTTCTTCAGTAGCAATGTGTGGAGTCTTAGGTTTTGACGCTGTGCTCATTTTTGGGGTTACTGGCCTCTGGACAATTTCGGTAGCTTCTTCACAAACATCCATTTGTGAATTGCATTCGTTTTCGTTATCGTTATCATGACTATGCTTGTGAGAGTCATGTTCATCATGTACTTCGCTACCACCATCGTTGCAATTTTGTTGCTCCTGATCATGATGACAATGGTCATGGCCATTTTGATCATGATGGTGTTCGTGGTGGTGATGATGTGCTTCATGATGATGTTCGTTGTGATGATGATGATCTTCATGATGATGTTCATGGTTGTGATCATGTTCATGCTGTCCATCTTCATGATAGTGCTCATGGTCATTTGCGGCTCGACTTCTTCTGCCAGTCTAAATCAGTAATAAAGAAAATATTTGTATTTGTATTATTCAGAAATACTCATCTACTTATCTATCGCATTACATACCTCCTCACTAAGACCTAATTTCTTTTTGAGTTCTTCATTTTCATGAGAAAGTCTTATCATTTCTTCGTCTTTGAATTTAAAACGTTCATCTAGCTCTTGTAGCCGTTGTTCCATGGCACTGTAATTAGAGCGCATTTCACGGTTAGAGAACTGTTCGGAATCCAAACGATTCATGAGATCGGCCTTGTCGTTTGTGAGTTGCACAAAACGAAGTTCTAATTCGTCCATTTGCTTTTTTAATTCAACATTTTGCGACAGTGCACGAGAGGCTGCTATTTTATCCGATTCCATGGCAGCCAACAGTTTTGTCTTATCCGGTTGCTCAGCTGTAACATTCTCCAACTGTTCTCTTAATTCTTCGACATCCTGCTTCTTTTGCTCATATTCGTTTTGTAGAGTAATCAAGCGGTCTTCTTGGGATTTGATTTTTAGTTGGAATTCGTATCTCTCAGTTTCATACTCCTGTATACGATCCCGCAACTCCTGCAACTGCTGATTATTCGTTACTTCCTCTGAGGAGCTCTAGAAAGACTAAATCGTCAAATCCGTAGTTCTTGAAACATAACAAAAAAACTGCTCACCATTGATTTTACTTCTTTGATTTCAGACTGTCGGGATATATTTTTTTGTATTTCCCTTTCCAGTTGCTGCACATGATCCACCATTTGCTTCTCCCTCTCCCGAAGTTTAGAAGATTCCTCCATGAGTTCACTGTTTCGTTCATTTAGCTGATTTACTTGTGCATTCAGTTGTTGAACATATGTTTGATATTGGGTGTTGGCCTGTTCCTTGTCCTGTGTCAACTGTTGAACCATTGCCTGCAGGTCTCGTATTTGCTGTTCGTACATGAATTGAGTTTGGGTTAAGGTTTCGACACGATTGTCCTTGGTTATGTTACTTTCATCGGATAGTTGACGTATTTTAAGTTGCGCCAGTTCCAATTCATTGCATTTCTCCTTGTGTTCATTGTCTAAGGCTTTGAGACGTTCTTCGCGTAACTGCATTTGTTGCTGTAATTCCAATAGGTGAGATGACTGGTCCTCATTAAGAGCTCTGGTTTGGGCAAGTTTGTGCTGCAGTTCGGCATTTTGCATTCTGTGTTGTTCCAATTGTTTTTGCGTATCTTTCAAATGTTCCTGTAAATCATCTACACGTCTAGTTACATTGCCATACTGCACCCTTAACTCTTCCAATTCGAGATCTTTTTCTCGACACGTCGTCCGATATCTGTTCAATTCAGATGTCAGTTGCGCCTTTTCGCTTATAAGAACTTGTATGGCATTTATGTTTTGAGTGCCATCGGCCGATGTGGGTTCATCGATGTGACTCGAAGGCAAGGATATTGGAAATGATTTTGATGTGTCTTCTTGTGGGGTATTTGCAAAATAATTGACAGATTCCAGTTCTGTTTTGCTGCTGACATCATCATTTTGTGCTTTGCATATTTGGCTAACGTCCAGTTCAAGGTTGGTGCCATTCAAGTGGAGGTCAGATTCAGAACGTTCTGATATATTGCTGCTTACATGACCACTGTTGCTGACTGATTCAACATTTTGAGGAATTGGTTCGGCATTACCACGTTGCTGATATTCTCTAAGCTGAAATGAATAAATGTAAATACATGTAAATTTATACGTTTCTACAATAAGTTAGAAGGAACAGCTGCTTTGCTTCTTCAAGTCTGACAAAAACAAGCAGCCAAACAAGTGACGTGTCATCATCAGGAGATGTAAATTTGTGTACCTTACCTTTTTTCGTGCAGCTGCCAATTTCTTGGCTTTGCTTTCCTTGGATTCCTCGGGCATTTTGTTTCCCTTGTGAACTAACAATTTATTGTTACTTGTCGTTTTTGACGAATAAATTGATTAAAGAATTATTGGTCTTATTGGTGTTCAGGTCTCTGTCTCTGCTTCAAGCGTGCGCTTTCGTTCGGTTTGGTTGTTCGTTGCGAGTGTTGGAAACAAAAATGAAAAACGTCCCAACGAAACGAATATGAAGGCCACAAAGGAATACCCGATAAAAAATAAACAGAAAGCAAAGACTCGGGGTACTCTGTTGTTTACGAATGAGTGTAATGCATAACGCCCGAGCTCGGAACTAGCTACAAATTCAAATTCAACGACGGTGCGACATGACAGACGGACGGCGTAAGTCGACAAAGACTACTTTACTCCTTGTCCGACAACGAAGCTGAATGATATTTTTTCAGCGGCGTCGGCAGCTTATCAACTGTAAACCAATCGGCGGCGCATTGCGTTTTCTGTACTGGGTTGCCACAGTTGGTAAGAAAATAATTTTGGTTTGGTAATTTGGTTCTTATTTAGGTAACTGTGTTCAAGAAATATTTTCAAAATCAGTTGTTGGAAGAAACGTACCTTATTTAAAATCTTTCTATCCAATCATTCCAATATTTTTCATGAATTTTTCTTTTCGTCATCTGAACAAATCCAAAAACAACAAACAATACAGAGATGGAAACTCTGTATTGTTTAGATCGTCTGATGCCACGTTTTCATTGCCGTGTATATACAGTGTGAGATAAAAAACTGCAAAAATGTCAAACGCCATAATTTTTACATTTCTTTTTTTAATTTTATTGAATAAAAGCAAAAATTTCGGAAATAGCATCAAATTTTAGAATAACTTTAGATTTGTTTGAATTGGTCGCTTTGACACGAATTATGGTCTTCAAACGGCCAATGAAACCGTCACACGCTGCCCGAATGTTGCTCTGCGGTATTTTGGTTCATTCCAGGCGAAGCGCTTGCTTGAGGTGATCGAGACAATGGGAGGAACCTCATTTTGTAATCATTCATGGGTGGCGCGTGCTGAGTGCGATGATGCTGAGTACTGTTGGAATGTCCAAGGCCTGCGGCCAAAATTTTTGCGTGCCCAGGGCTTTATATATTCGATAATATTCGGCATTTATTCTGTTATGGCGGCCCATACCATCACCATGGCCGGCGCTTGAGTTCTGGTGGCCAACCGAAGGTGCACATTTTAAGCTGACCTCTTTGGCAAGTAAACACGATCATTTTGTTTGTTTACAAACTGCTAGACAACGAATGTTTTCTCATCGGAGAAAACCAAATTCGCCAGCTCACCACTTTCGGCCAAGCGAAGCAACTCTTTAGCTCTTTTGAGTCTATTTTCTTTCAGCGGCGGTGTAAGTTTTTGCACTTTTTAGAATTTCAATGGCTTTACCCCGAGCTCATTTTTTAATATTTACCGAACGGAATATTTCGATATGTTCAGCTCACGAGCCATTTTTCGGCCACTGCGACGCGGTTTTTACTTTTCGAACCATTTCTGTTGATGTTACTGTTTCCTTCCGTCCACTTCCTTGACGTCGGGCTACGCTGCCAGTATCACGGTAACGAGCGATGGTACGAGACACGAATAATTTTTGTCTGGAATTTTTTTACCAAAATGCTTTTGTACGCTTGTGAACAATATAATGAGCAGTCACTGGAATAATTTTAACAGCTGTCGGACTAGTGGCAGCAATGACAGCAGTCTGATGTTGTTTGCAGGTTTTTCATCTCAACCTAGTACGTGTTCCTTGTTTATAACTTTTCGCTCGGACTGCCGATAGCAAATTTATAGCAGCGCTGCTCACGAACAAAAACCCGCTCAACAGTCAATTTCCCTTTGGTTCTGGAAATCATTAACAAATCAGTGTTAAAACTTTATTTCTGTAGCTTCTTTAATTCTTTTGGACCATCATCATATTTAAAACTATGTTTTTTTTTTGTTTCCCAGCAATATTCCATAGTTTATTATAACGTTTGTTGTAATTTCGGAATAAATCCAATTTAAAAAAATGGAGTTTATAAGTAATTGTAAAATTGTTCTATTTATTTTCGTGTGTGTGTGTGTTTTTTGAAGTAAAATATTTTGTAAAAATTAGGGACAATGGACTTATGAGATATGACTTCTTTAGGAATAAATAGCAGGGTTTCTTGTCGTAACAATAATGAACTGGGGGATGTTGTTAAAGACGAGGAAATAATTATTTTGGCTTTATTCTTAAAATACGTATTATTAAAAATAATTAACAACTAAAAGGAATTCTAATATGCTATATATAATAAAAACGCGCACATGCAGCAGATGCTCAATGCATACATCTGCATGTACGCGAAGAAAGCTATCACATAATTAATATAATTAAACCTGATGATAAGTGTTAATACAATTTATGAGTGTAATTAAATAATAATAAGTAGACGATAAACTAAATGTATTCAGTAGTTTCAATGGAATGTTCGTTAAAACTGTTCTCTCTGAGTTGTGAGTAAAGAAATAAATTTGATCGACTAAAAAAACATTGATCGTTGAGATATGAGACACGTCTTCTTTAATGTAACCAAAAAGTCTTTGTTCCAGGTCCCACTTTCCCCTTCTAAGGTGTGAGTGGGGGCATTGAGGCAGCGCCACGCTCGCAGTTTTTACTCCTTCTAGGCATCTCCAAGTGGATATCAGCCAAACCCCATTAGATATTTTGGCAAATAAACTATGGAAGTTAAAAGGCTGTAGCTGAATTTGAAAGGGGTGGATGAGAAATTAATTAATTCGTTCGGCGGCTTCTTTAAAATGTGAAATTTATTCTTTTAGCTGAGTTTATATTATTTTTATTATGTAATTGTTGAATATTTACAAGTGTTTGATACAAAAATTAAGCCACAACCAAATTGTTAGAACTAATTCCATTTGCCAGAGTTTAAGCCCAAAGCGATCAATATTACACAAAGGATATTATAACGTCAGGTATCTGCCATTCCGTGGTGGTTGAGATAGCTTCATCCGTCTCACCTGCTCCATAACTAGAATCAAGGCCATAGTTTTCACTGTTCAGTCATTGGGAAGATTTGGAGTTTTGTGTTAATACCAATTCGGGGTGTTAATGAGGGGTTAGTGGGCCTTTGGGCCACAGCCTACATATGGGCACACAGCCATTCGCCGAGAGAATGGGCCACATTATGTCTCCCAACCTGCCCAGGAATTGCTGTACGTTTATGTTGTGCGGTGGTCGTTTAGCGGATTACGATGGATTAATGAAAAGATGGACTATGAGTAGCAATAATGATATTTGTTATAAAACAAGTTGCACGGCACTTAGGGTAATATTGAGTCTGGAAGAGAAACATATATCTATATTTTTGCTAATATATTGTAATTTGACCAACAACAACAATAACGATGAAAAGCCATGGTTAGTGAGAAGCAATTAAATTTTTTCAATTTATACGACACAACACCAATTTCACATGATTCGTTTCTTCCGATTTTTCCAATTTTCCAATGTGCACACATATAAGATGGTGGTTTTGTTCGATGGGGGGTGGGAAAACTATGTAAAGAGTACGTACGAATTGCTGAGGCCACGATATATCCAGGATTTCCATGACTTGCCAGATTCATCGTCGACCTTGGCCTCCAACTCTGAACAGAAGTGTCGCCGATCATGGGAACGTCCGCTCTTGGCATCGCATAGTATCCGTTTTCGACATTCGGCATCGCATGTAGGTCTGACAGGTGAATTTTTCCAATAGTTCCTAAATTGAATCGATTAACTATGTGTAACAGATGAGGCTCTATCTCGATACTCACTTGTAATACAAATCGAATAGTTCCTGATTTGCGGTCAGCTCACTTATGAGATTGTCCCAGTCCACGGGACGCAGTGCCTTCATGTTGTAAGCCGCTCTGGCCGTATACAGTTTGTACCAAATGGGATAGTCATAATGGTTGGCCTCCTTCAAATTCATTATCCATGACTCGTGGTCAACTACCAGACGTGTGGTTGTGTCATGATCACCATCCACATAATAGATGCGATAACCGGGATTCAGATCATAATAGGGAGAAACGGACGGTCCAATGTAGGCAATGTTATTTGGATGGCCTTAGGGGAAGAGAGTAAACATTTGAGATTAAGATAGTTTTGAGATGAACGATGATCGCCTTTGGTCTGAAGAACTTACTCAAATCTGCCGGATCATAAAACATTTCGAATTCATCGAAATGGGTGTGGCCATAGAACTGTGCCATAATTGTGTTCTCATAACGGGAAATGATTTTGTAGAAATTGCGAGACCATACCTTCAGACAATCAGAGTGGCCCGGAGGTATATGGCCAATGACATGGACCTTTTCATTCGAAAATTCGGCACTTTGCAACTCATAAATAAACCATTGGAGTTCTGTTGCTGGATCGGTGGAATTTAAAAGCAACCACCTGGACACAGAAAGTAAATGGATCAACCTGTATTCGTACTCACGTTTCCAACTTACCAATTTTTGTTGTTGCAGTAGTTCATGTTCAGGGAAATGATGCGGAATCCAGGCCTAACCAGCACCGAATAGAAAGCACCACGCCGCACGGTGTGGGAAACACTTTGAGGCAACCAACGACGCCATTGGACGTCAAGTTCATCATATAGCCAGGCTATTGAATTTTCCACCTGATTCACATAGGGTGGCGGAAAACTGTTGACCGGAGCACTCTCATGATTGCCCAGAGCTGGAAAGATGGGAACGCCGGGGAATTTCTCCGTCATCTGTCGTACTGTCTCCTTAATGATTTCCAAATTCTCCTGCTTCGTTTGGTTCCACACATCGTGAGGTGGTAGATCTCCCGTCCACAATATGTAGTCAATATCGCTGTGGGTATCAGCTATGTGCGACAGCATATTATCGACGGTGCGTTTGGGAGTGTCGCATTTACGATAATCACCCCATTTCCCTGCTGCGGCATTGGGATTTGCCGGCCTGCCACTGCTCAGCCGACAGCAAAGCGGCTCATTACAGTCGGCATTTGACCCCTCCACATAGTGGGGGTCATAGTGGGTATCGGAGATTTGTAAAACTTTGAAAAACGGTGCTCCCTCTTTGGGTACAGGAACTTCCATTACGGGAGGTTTTGGTACCGGGGGGAAAACCACTTCCCATTCGTGATAGGGATTATAGGTGTCCTCGCAACCATCGCCAATGACAAAACTACAAATCTCGTTTGGTCCCAGGGGAGTTCTTTGCAAGACATACACCACCTCAGTGCCGAAAAGGTTTGCCACACCTTCACACACCCGGGGACTTTGGATGTTCAGATTTGAACAGAACTGATAGATCATTTTGATGATTTCCCCCTCCGTCTTGCCCGTATGGATGTAGTGCAACAGAAGCCCGGCTCCCGCTTTGCATGCCGTACACGAGACTTTGGACAAAAGGCTATGCTCGATCTCATACGACACCTGTTTCAAATTGAATAGCTTCAAGGCCTTGTCCACGAATGGAGGATAAGCCAAACCGTCGGGCGTGTTGTCATACCACAGCATGCGGGACTTAGAGGTGTTGTTCTTAATTCGCTTCAGTCGCTCGAGGAATTCCTCGTCGCTAATTGAGGCTTCGGCATTGGTGCGGTTTTCCAAGTGTTTCAATTCCACATGAGGCACAATGCTGCGTGGTATCGAAAGTATTTCCCAATCATCTTCGGGTTGTGTCCAATTTATCGATTGTCTGTGTGAGTGAAATGTTGGAAAAGCTATGCAAGGAAATGTTTTAGTAACGACTACTGTGCTGGTATCGCGTTGAGATACATACCTTGAACTCCCGCCACTGTCACTAGGACCATCCACGCACAGATGGTCTGAGGTATTGTCATCTTAATGGTGTTGGTGTGTGTGTGTGAGTGTTAATATCCCGTTGTTTAATACTCTGCACCCGGCTTCTGCTCCAAATGCTATAACTAAATCTAAAACAAGAGGAAAACAATTATTATTATTTTTTTTGATTTATTTTTGGAATATCCAGCCAAGTCGCTAACCGACCAACTGACCGACAATAATTACAAAAGTTTAATTACAAGTCAAAAGTTCTTTGCCCGAATTGAGTGGCATGTTGAAAATTCCTTGTGGCTTAGTGGCAAATAACACAGTTCTATGCATTTATTCTTTTACTTTCACGCTTAGGGCAAGGAAGGGACCGACGAAGACGACGGCGACGATGAAAAACAGAAGGGAGTTGCATAAACCTCTTGAGATTTGTCGAATGGTTTTCGGAAGAAATTTAAAAAAGAAATGACTTGACACTGCAACAATAGACCAATGGCTTGAGAACGTAATTCGAAAGTGATTCAGGAGTGAATTGCACAAATTTGAAGTAGGTGAAGCTAAATGTGACTTAGAACAAAAGAGAACCCATTGACCTACATTTCATGTTGTATGAGAGGGGGGGGGGGGGGGTGGTCATTTAGCTCGTATAGAAATTTATATTGTACATGACATACTCATCCGCAGCACTGATTTTTTTCACTTGAACACCAGCATCATTTCAAATGGTGGGAAAGGAGTTAGTTGAAGAATTATGTGATTTTCAATAAAAAAGAGGTGTGTTGGGATTGGTAATCTTACTTTTCTTTTCCTTTTCTTTAATATTCGAACATAAATAAATATCTGTTTCAGAAACATTGACTTTTCATAACAAAGAAGAATTTTTATTCTATAAAAAGTAAAATTTTATTGAAATATTTTGTTGTTGCAAAATGGTCAGGCTTTATCCCTATATTGTTGTTTTTATAAAAACAACGTTTGTTTATTGGTGGAGAACGATGGTAATGTTTACCAGGGGGTAAGGCAGGGAATACCTAGGTTTCGGAAAGAGCCACCAATCCTCATCAGTTCCCTTGTTTTTTTGTCTGGGATATTCTCCCCAGAAGTTATTTTAAAAATAACTTCTATGACAAAAAACATTTTTTAACCAAGTGACGAGATCATAAGCTCAATAGAAGAGGAACCAAAGAATTAAATAAAACTAAAATTCTTTTGGCAAGTCTTCTAAATCTTACAACCGCACTTATAAACATTTACATCTTTCTCCACTTGTTATTGAAATATAATTACATTTGAGAATGTTTTAATTAATCTACAAATGTAGAGACAACACATTTGAATTTCATTTCGTGCCGAGATCAAATGCAAAGCTTATCAGCTTCCGTGTAATGCACTGTCACCACACACCACCGCTACTGCTGTTGTTGTTGTTATTTAAACATGTTTACCAATTATAACGAGATAATGAAGTGAGATTAGAAAAACGTATTTGAGTAATTTAATTTGATTTCATTCGACTAGAACATGACATCAAATGAAAAAAAAAAAAAATAAAAAACAAAGGACCGTATGATTAATGTGTTGAGTGTTTGTAGATAGATTCATTTTATACTTCCCTAACTGGCCACGCCTTAAAGCAACGCCTTTAACCGATTTTCCTATAACTTGACCTCTTTACACAGAGATCAATAGTTTGTAGTTATTGTAACGCCTGCCAATAAAACAAAATATGAAGTGTATAGGACTTGGGTTTTAGTTGGCTTAAACCAATTCATTTTCTATGCCAGGACCATTGCCACATAAGTGACGTCATAAAATAAATAGGCTTTGCCTCGAATGTTCTCTTTCGTTTCTGTCATCAATGGAAAAGCTCTATCTCATGTTGACGTATTTTAGTTTAAATTTAACATATTAGCCATTTACCGAGACATTCCTCAGACATAAACTTCCTATTCGCCAATTTGTTTCATCAGTATTCTAAGCATGTTAATGTAGGCTTAAAGAATATTTTTTTTTAAATTTCGACGCCATTATTCGTGGTAATTGATTATTCACCATAAACTCAATGTATGTGTTCCATAGCCAAATCTGTTTCGGTTCCACAAGTATTATGTTTTGGCCCAGATAAAAAATCATAGTAGAAGAATACAGGTAGACGCATCAACGCCTTGGAACATTGATGTGTCAAAAATTTTAAAATGTTCTTTTTTTTTCAAAAATAAGTAGATTTTAATATATTTTCTTATACGACGTCAATCGGAGGTTGTTATGACATGCACATGGTAGAATTAAGAAGGTAAAGTCATACAACATCTCATTGTCAAAATGTATATTTATAAATCCATTGTACATACAGGGTGAGAGGAAAAAACTGCAACCAACTTCAGACTGCTGTCATTTCTAAGCCACACGCCCGACAGCTGTAAACATTTTTCCAGTAACAGTTCATTATATTGTTTACATGCGCAAAAGCATTTTGGTGAGAATTTTCCGGAAAAAAGTTATTCGTGATGGAATTCAAGCGTGATAGTGTGATTCCTCTTTATATATGACTGGAAAACCACAAATGGCTATCGTTAGAGCATTCCAGCATTTAAATGTGAATAAATCTTTTAATGTCTCGTATCATCGCTGGTTACCGTGGTACTGGTTGCGTAGCCCGACGTCAAGGGAGTGAACGGAAGAAAACAGCAAACAGATTTGAAAAGTAACGAAGCGACTTGATCGAAACCCGCGTCGCAGTGGCCGAAAAATGGATCGTGAGCTTAACATATTCCATTCGGCAAATATTGAAGAATTCGACCATTGAATTTCCAAAAAGTGCAAGAACTTACACCGCAACAGAAAGAAAATAGACTCAAAAAAGCTAATGAGTTGCTTCGCTTGGCCGAAAGGGGTGAATTTGGTTGGCCGAATTTGGTTTTCTCCGATGAGAAAACATTCCTTGTTTAGCAGATTGTAAACAAACAAAATTATCGTGTTAACTTGTCAGCTGAAAATATGCATCTTCGGTTGGCCTCCAGAACTCAAGCGCCGGCCATGGTGATGGTGTGGGCCGCCATAATAGCCAGCAGATCTTGGACTTTCCCACAGGACTCATCACTATAGCTCTCAGCAAGAATGATTACAAAATGAGGTTCGTTACTTCATTTCCAGCCCACAATGGCCACCAAAATCTCCATATACCAATCCGTTGGACTGTTGTGTCTGGAGTATTTTGGAAAGCAAGCTTGGCACTAAAAAATACCAAAGTGTCGATCACCTCAGGCAAGCGCTTCGCCGGGAATGGGCCAAAATACCGCAGAGCAACATTCGGGCAGCGTGTGTGACGGTTTCATTGGCCGTTTGAAAGCCATAATTCGTGCCAAAGGTGACCAATTCGAACAAATCTAAACTTATTCTAAAATTTGATGCTATTTCCGACATTTTTTGCTTTCATTCAATAAAATTTAAGAAAAATGTAAAAATTATGGCGTTTGACTTTGTTGCAGTTTTTTTTCATCTCACCCTGTATTTTATTTTTAAATCCCAATTGCATACCTTTTGACAAGTCCTATCAAGAATATCAGCTGGTCTTATCGGATAATCTTTGGTTTTTCCTTTGCCAATATTTATTGTCGTGGTTCAGATATTCGGATTAATCAGGTTAAAGTCTTGCATGTAAACGTCATTTTTAAAAGCACAACATTAGGGCATGCTACCAACTGTCATGTAGACAGAGCTATGATATGCTGTCGTTGTTGCTGTTGGTTTATGCAACAAAAAATATATCTACATCACGAAATAATACCCTTCCTGGGAAGGTGGTCTTTGTGTTTGTAATAGCAATTAATTGCGTCTTCAAGCATCTTTTGTTGTTTAGTGTAAAGTGTAAAGGTTTCACTTTTCAAAACAATGTCGTTGTTTGGCGGCGACATTCAATGTCCAAGCCCTTTCCTTTACGTTCATTCGTGTGTGTTTGTGTGGAGAGCCGGACGGACAAAGCTTTGTAACTTTTCTAAATAAACTGGTTTTTTGCACGACTGCCTTGATTCGAAACGCTTTTTTGTTGTCTTGTGCCTATCTTCTCCTCGTCGTCTCTATGATAACTGACCACTGTGACTGACTGTGCGTACATGTAAACAACCCATCCATTAGCACTCGGACAAACAACAATAGCAACAACACTACATGGTCATTTGCACATGAACTTGTATGAAGGATTGTTACGATCGCCAAAAGACCTGACACAATGACTCAATGCTGAAGAGGTAAATTTTGTGCAAGAACGAAGTTCGTACTTCAGTTTCAAAGGCACTATCAAGGCAGGTTTTAGCATTCGCTCTCCTGTATTCGTTTGGAATGTAAAAAAATAACAGGTGTTATTTAGATAACTATTCCAAATATTTGTTTCATTTAAGTTCGGTAAATTCCAACTTTTTAGCTCCGTTTTGTCAAAAGGAAACCCCAAATAGCCAAATCAGTTTCAACAAGTAAAAAAACTATAAGTTCGGCAGGGCCGAACTTTGAATACCCTCCACCTTTTGGAACAAATTTGGTAATTTGCAAAAAGAAAAATAAATAAATAAAACAAATGCTGTTAAAATATTAAAAATACCGAATTCAGTCGTTATATTAGGGTCTATACGACGACGTGGAGCTGCATAGGCAAGTTTTGTCATAAGCCATTCACTCATCATCAAAATACCGAATATCGGGAGGAACCATTATGTGGCGGCTATACTAAAACGGGGACTTGCACAGACAATTTTCTGTCATAGGCTGTAGTATCCATTACGAACTTCAAATACCAAAATTGAAACAATTCCGGTGAATAATGTCGCTTAAACCATCAAAATACCGAAAATGGGGAGGTACCATCATATGGAGGCTATACCAAAACGTGGACCTACATGTCCCATTTTCAATACCAAAAGTCTTGCAGACATAATGTACACTTGAGCAAAATTTTATACTTTGTGGGGTCTAAAATGTATATTTCAAGGTAAACAAACGGAATGACAAAACCTCCTTCATACTATGGTGGAGGGTATAAAAACGTAGCAAAATATTGAAAAATGCCTGAAATCTGGGCATTATATGACTTGTATCCATGGCAAAATATGTTTACTACCAGTTACCAACCCTTTCTCTATTTCTCATA